GTCATGTGACTCTCTCCTGGTACAAAGGAAACAGTTTATTGTCCAGCATCAGTGTGTCTGATCTCAGCATCAGTCTCTCTCTACCTCTGGAGGTGGAATATCAGGATTCCAATACATTTATTGTGCGTTTCTTTGGTCAAAAACAGCAAAAATTAAGAAAGAAAAGCGCGGCTATTTAATAGATTGCATTTTCAATTAAACGTTTGCAATTGGTTTGTAAAGGTGTTTTTATGCACGTTTAGTCTGAGTATCGAAAAGCTTCGTTTCCCCCATCAGTAAGTTATATATTCACACAGAATAAATCTTAAATGTCGTATTTGTTTACTATTAGTGTTATTAATTCTGTCCGACCACAGTTATCATAGGCTATTTCACCAAAAAAGAGTTATAGCCTACAGTTAATGTTCCTAAACTCATACTTTAATATGGCGCCTTCATTAAAGAGTGCAAGACATTTTTTCAAATGTCTTTTTTGAGTGGTGTCTACCACATTATCAGTTTTACTACAGAAGTAATGAGGATATTAATACATTTAAAATGAGCTCCAGACAAAACAAACAAAAAAAAGGAACAAGGGACAAACATCACATTACCAATCGCCAGAGAAACATGTTTTAACACAGCATTCAGTTACAGGCACTGAAGATCATAAATACTCTCAGCAAAGTGTTTCATCGACTTCAAAATAAATCAGTGAACTTCCAGGCATCTTTAAAGGTGGACCTATAAAAAAGCAATGCTATTCAGAGTTGGTCCAGTGTTAGTAGCTAAGCCATACACATTAGTAACATAATTTCAGTCAAAACAGTAGAAACATGTATAGCAGTAGTGCACTATGAAGAGCACTTGTGTCCTCCACTATAAGACTGTGTGAGGAGTGAACTTTTCGTATAATGCTCTTCTTGGTGAGGCAATTGGGAAAATGCAATCATTGTCTTAGTTGTAAGAGGATGTGAAGAGGCAAGACAAAACCACTTATGTCATAACGGATTAGCGTTATGTCATGTCTTTGTGCAAAAGATAAGAAAGAAATAATTGCTCATTATTCCTGTCTAGAACACTTCAGCAGCTTTGAAAAATGCATATGCTGAAGAACAAAGCATTTGCTGATCTATTCATAGTGATGTGTTGTTTGGTTTCTTACATTATTGCTCATTGTGTAAGTCTAAATGTTTGAATTCATTAAAAAAAAAATCTAACAAATCAGTTTTTAAATTTAAATTGAAAACCTGGACTCATGACACAATTACTCTGAAGACAGTTTCAGCAGATCCTCTTCTCTCCAGTTGCCCCCCCCCCCGAATTCTCTTTAGTGTCCCTTTAAATGAAAGTATCAATTATAAATTATTATACATAGTTTTTTTTTAGGCCGCTTCAGTCTGAGACTGATTTAAGTCTGATTCATGTCCTGTGTCCCTCAAGGCAATGTCTTTCTTAGCATCATTCTCCTGTAAAAAATAAATAAAATAAAAAAATAACACAGATTCATAAATGGTAAAAGTAACAGATGTGTCAGTTACACAAACAACAAAAAAATGTTAACTTTCCCTAAATATTTAAAACTGTCTAAAACTGCATCAAGCTGTGTATTACAGCAATACAAATTTGAAGTACTGTGATTTTAATACCACATCTAAAATGTTTGAACTGTTATATTGACATTTTCTTTTAAGAAACTTGCTCTCAGAAAATTTTGAACTGCGTTTTATTTTATTTTTTTAAATTCCCCATTTAGTTTATTTGGGAGTTGTGACCATTTTTTGACTGCACCATGACTTACATGCTGTGGTGCTCTTCTATATCTCATGCGGCGACAGTAAATCAAACTAGCAGTTCCAGCTGCAGCTGCAAGCAGAACAACAACAACAACTATTCCTGCTATAGCAGCAGAAGACAACCCTGAATCTGAAACAGATAAAGACAGACAGTCATTGTTACTATAGAGGGAATGGAAATCCATCCAGTATTTAACAATACTTTTGACTATTACAGATTTCTACTTTTGGTCAAAAATTGTATGGCATTGATTTAACTGATGAATGGTGCCATCTGTTGTTTTTAGCAACAGTAGTTAAAACATCACATCACTGTGATGATTGATATCATATTTGGCATGTTACTAACATTCAGGGGCGTAGCCATCATTTCAGAAGCGAGGGGGGACAGAAATATTATATAACATTTCTGTAATCTATATAGCCTACCAGGCAACAGTTTTTGAACAGTAAGATTTTTAATGTTTTATAAATAATTCTCTTCTGCTCACCAAGCCTGCATTTATTTGATTCAAAGTACAGCAAAATCAGTAATGTTGTGAAATATTTTTACTATTTAAAATAACTGCTTTCTATTTGAATATATTTTAAAATGATTGCTGAGAGCAAAGCTGAATTTCCAGCATCATTACTCCAGTCTTCAGTGTCACATGCTGCAGAAATCATTATAATATGCTGATCAATTATTATTATCAATATTTAAAACAGTTGAGTAATTTTTTTCAGGATTCTTTGATGAATAGAAGGATCCAAAGATCAGTATTTATGTGAAATAAAAAGCTTTCGTAAGATTATACACTATACCATTAGAGTCAGTATAATTTTTATTAACGTCCCCCGCGTAATCTACGCACCTGCGTAACATTAGTCAATGTGTTTTTGAGTCAGTGTGTTTTGTTTGAATTCCTCAAAGAAAATGCACTGAACGACTGAATTATACTCACCAAAGACAGTAACATTGAATCTCTTCACTCTGGTGATTCTGAAACTGCTGCTGTTGCCGATGATGATCTGCAGTTTATAATCTCCAGAGTCTGTGATTGTGATGTTTGTGATGGTCAGAGATCCAGTCTGATGCTCCAGCTTCAGTCTGTCTCTGAATCTCTCATCACCATCTTTACACTGAACATCTGTACAGCTTTTATTGGGATCACCAGTAATTTGAGCGATGGGAGTGTCATTAAAAAACCACGTCATCACATCATTTGGTTTTCTTATTTCACCAGAATCTAAAGTGACAGATTCTCCCTCGTTTCTCTTCACTTCATCTCGCTCAGCAGCAGGAACACCTGAAGCACAAACCAACAGCTGCTGGATGCTCTTTCTGCTGGAATTAATAGCAAACTCCACAACATGAAAGAACTGAAGATGAAAGCAACAAGCCCTTCTTTACTTTATTTAAACATAATTATCAGCTGGTCAGAGATGATTAGATGCTGTCATCTCCATCTGAACTCAGCTACACCTTTTTACGGAGAAACAAAAATATGAATGACTCACTATTGACAATAACAGTGAAGGTTTTTTCACTGCTGCTGCTGCTTCTACCGATGATCTTCAGTACATAAAGTCCAGAGTCTGTGGTTCTGATGTCTCTGATGGTCAGAGATCCAGTCTGATTGTCCAGCTTCAGTCTGTCTCTGAATATCTCAGTACCTGAATTACACTGAACATCTGTACAGATACAACTGAGAGCTCCATTGATTTGAGCGATGCGAGTGCTGCTGAAATACCACTTTATATCTTCTTGTTGGTTTGTTTCAACACCAGTGTGAAAAATGACTGCATCTCCCTCCATCACAGGCACCGGCAGTTCATCTGATCCAACACCAGATGCAACTGAAGAAAAAATATAAACCAAACAATACAACACTGCTACAATACTGCTATGAGAATGTTTTGTCTACATATCATGAGGTTTTTTGAGTAGAGAAACATTCCTGGATTCATAAAAAATATGATGTTCAGATAATACGGTGCCATTTTCTACAAAATATTTTTAAGTCCTATATTTTCCCATGTAAATAATATATTTAGGCTTTGATACGTGTATGTAAAGTGTATCAACATTTACTGACATGTTACGTTTTTATATTGGCATGATTACTTGCAAAGCCGTTGAAACTGATCTAGACTGCATTTCAGCTGCGTAGGTTCCTTTTTTTTCATCATTAGCGTTACACACATTATGTGACTCTGCTAGGCGCTGTTGCCAGCTTGCACTACAGATATAGGCTACCCACGGTCAAAGAATTCGGGTTCGGGAGAGTGATTGCAACAAATAAATGTCTTACCGTGGTCGAGTAGAAACAAGATTCCTGCAAGCGCCTTACAGAGAAGCTTCATTTTCGCAATTTTCCCCTCAGAAAATGAATACAGATTCTGCTTTATGAAAGCGTTCTGTTCTTCTGCTAGCGACGCAGTTTCAGCGGTAGTTAAAAGTGAAAGCAACATTCCAAGCGCTTTCCTGTGGAAGTTAGGCATTAACTAAATCAGCCGTGCCCAAAAATTCAGGCGTGCCGCTGAACACCATAGACTGTATAAAAACATAAACACAAGCACTGAGTGGCCCTACTTAGTTTCAGTGATCGTATCAGAGCCAGACTGCACCGCAGACGAGTGCACTGTAAATTGTCTAAGCATTAATGGTAGGGAAAGCCCCTCATACTGGAGCGCGGCCACTTATGATGTGTTTCTTGGAGGTTATAGTACATTGAAGAATGATAATATGACTTTTTACATGCGCCAATTGACCTGTAAATGCGAAAAAGCCGTTTACATTGCAGTTTTGCGAATTATTCCTTTTTCGCATTGCCTGAAAAACCACCTCATGCGAGCGTAAAAAATTGTTTGCGATATATGGGCGTTTTTGCGAAATTGACGCGTTTCCATTAGGCGTATTTTCAATTCGCAATTTCAATTTGCGCAAATTGAAGGGTAATGGAAACGCGCCTATTAAAGCTACAAAACACCTACATATATATATACAAGCTCAAAAAACATCTAAAAGGGACACTTAGAACTGGAGTAATGATGCTGAACATTTTTGCTTTATTGTTTTTAGCTTTATATACATATAATTGTATTTATTTATTTTTACAGGCTCTCCAAGGAAGGAGATTTTCAAGGGATTGCCAGGACTTCCTGTTTTTGGCCGTTTCTACAGGCTCTCCAAGGAAGGTGATTTTCAAGGGATTGCCAGGACTTCCTGTTTTTGGACGTTTCCACAATTTTAGACGTGTTATCTTGTGACAGATTTCAGATGTCTTTGTGGTGTTTATCTGTGCTGCTGCATGACCAATCACATCCTCCTCACTGTAAAAAAATACAATTATATACATGTATATAAAAGTATTAAGTGTCACAATATACTTATTTTTTTGCTCAACAAACATTATTATTATCGATGTTTTTTCAGGATTCTTTGATGAACAGAAAGTTCAAACGAACAGCATTTATCTGAAATAGAAATACTTTGTAATAATGTACACTACTGTTTAAAAATGTGGGGTCAGTAAGATTTATTTTGGAAATAAATAAATAAATTAATACTTTTATTCAGCAAGGATGCATTAAATTGATCAAAAGTGACAGTAAAGACATGTATACTGTTATAAACAATATTTTACTTCAGATCAATTTATATCCATCAAAGAATCCCCAAAAAACTTTTTTCAACATTGACAGTAATGTTTTTTGAGCAGCAAATCAGCATATTTGAATGATTTCTGAAGGACGTGACACTGAAGACTGGAGTAATGATGCTGAAAATTCAGCTTTGATCACAGGAATAAATTACATTTTTAACATGTATTCAAATAGAAAACAGTTATAGTAATAATATTTCACAATAATACTGTTTTTACTGTATATTTGATCAAATGAATGCAGCTTTGATAAGCAGAAAACTTATTGTTTCCAAACAACTTTGTGTGTGTATATATATGTGTATCTACATTTCGTATGATCTTTTTATGACCTTTGCAATGTACTGTTTTGAACTAATGTAATGAACATAGTTAGGTAGGTCACCATGAGATTTGACCTTTTATGTGTTTTTTAAGCTTCAATATGAGTCACTGTTACCATTACCTTTCTCCAAGAAAAGCTGGCATGGCAGTTCTACTTCTGACACTGGAAATGTTCCAGTGCATATATTGGGCACTGGGCTTCAAGTGCCTACACATTAAAGACAAAAATGTATGCAGGGCAAATTTTGTAAAATAGGAATTGATAATTGAAAATGTGCAATTTAGCTTTTGCTTGTGTACCTCCTGAGGGTGATTGCAACATGGGATGATGTTGCATCACGTCTAAGGTTTTGCCTTGAAGATGTTGCGTCCGCCATCAACACCAAATCTTCTTCCTGCAAACAGAAAAGAAAAATGTGAAGTTCTACTGATAGAATTCTAGGCTGTTGGGAGTAGTCACAAATAAAAACACCCCTTATAAATCAGGGGCATATTGAAATGTGGAAGTTAGTTCATTAAAAGGTCTTCAAAGCAAAGTCTCTGCAAGGCTGCAGTGGTACTGACTGACAAGTCCTGAATATCAATCCTTACTATTGAAGTAATACGTTTTGCAATTGTCATTGCACGGGTCTTAAAGATAGTACAAAACAAACTTGTTATTAGAATGCACAATACACAGTCTTGTAGACTAGGGTGAAGTCAGAATGTACAGACATCGGTCCCAAATTGTTGTATTTTAGAAAACTTTGAATGGCAAACTACAGCTGTTGGGTGCTGCGAATAGACTTGAGTGTGCATACGGTCATAATTTATAAATCATAACCCGCCAAATGGCTAGTGATCTGATGTGCGTTACTCACCTTGCTTCACTGGAGTTATAATAATCTATAATCTCTGAAAATATTGGCCTGACGCTTTACTATTGGGGGCTCTGGCAGCTATACTCTTGGCTAATCAAATCTACAACGTGCTTAGCTAACGTTACGTATTTAGATGGGAAAACATGAGAGGAGAGAATAATTAAGTTCACTTGTCACTGAGATTAAGGTGTTAAATTAGTTATTTTACCCAGGGCTGGACTGGGACAAAAAATCGGCCCAGGCATTTTTTGGTCAGAGGGGAAAAAAGAACATCAGTTACTACAGTCTTGTCCCATTTGCCCCTGCTGGTAGATTTTGTAACTGCACACTCTGACTGCAATTGACACTTCGCTGGGAGTTTGATTGACAGGCGATCTGACCAATCATAATGCAGAATCTGCCATTTTTGTCAAACAAACCAGACAGTAGATTAATGTTAGTGGACCTGAACTTGGAAAATTGTGTATATTGCCATCTTTCCGCAATTGAGGCGTTACAGCGATCTTTCACACCACATTAAATATATTTACATTTAGATTTATTCATTTAGCAGACACTTTTATCCAAAGCAATTTACAATTGGGGAGTAGCCTACATCAAACGATTCATCTTAAAGAGGTAAATAGACACAGGAAGTGCTCATAATACCAAGTTTCAGGCATTGTTCAAATTAGTACAAGCTAGACTGGGGATTAAGTAAAGAGAAGAAAAGGTGTTTTTTTTAGGATGAAGTTAGATGGTGACAAAAGAGATGAGTTTTCAGCTGTCGCTTGAGAATGGTCAGGGAATCAGCATTCCAGATAGGGGTGGGAAGACCATTCCACCAGCCAGGAACGGTGAACAAGAATGTTCTGGAATGTGATTTTGTGCCTCTCTGTGATGGTACACTCATTAGTAGATCTCAGACTTCTGGAGGGAATATATATTCCTAATAGTGATAGTGAGTGGAGCCACAAAATGGTATTTATTGTTCAAATTTCTTTAAAAAAAAAAGACAACATTTGAAAGCTGAGACTTTGTTTCATGCCTAAAGTAACCTGCTCTGTCTTGTCTGTCAGTGTGCTGCCAGTTTCCTCTTTGTTCCGTGATGTATTTTTCACCATCATGGCTTGTTGGACATAGCAACAGCAACGAAGTGGGGCAGGTCTTTGCAAAGGGTCAATTAGCATCTTTCTTTATTAATGTCATGGCTAATATATATATATATATATAGAGAGAGAGAGAGAGAGAGAGAGAGAAAATATATATAAAAATAAACTATATCTTTTTTGTTATTATTTTTAATATATTTTTTAAAAATGAAAAAAAAAAAAAAACATTCTGTTCACCTACTTGTTGCAGTATCTGACGTGCCAACTGCAGCAGTAAAGACAAAGAACAGGAAGATATGACCTGAAACTGAAAGGAAGCACTTAATTTAAAAATGACACAACTGATTCAGAAGAAGAAATGACAGCCAGCTCTGTTTGGACCAAGCATTTGTGTGCATATCAAGTAATTCATTAATTTATAATTTATTATAATTAATTTATAATAAAAGTCATTCTAAGCATTTATGTTTTTATTTCAACTTATTTATGAATGCTGCTTTTGGATTTGAATGCACTGACCAACATTGCCTTTCTGTCATGAATTGCTAATAGCAGCCAGGAAAACATCTGCTGTATTATTACTCAGTGTTTTGTTTAGCTGTCAGTCTGTGAATGTCATCAAAGACACATGATAGGTAAGTCTAGATTGTTAGTTACAGTAAAATAAAATACTGAATCCAACAAAAACAGTTAAACTAGTCCTGTGTCTCCGATGAGTGACTGGTTTATGAAGGATTTAAAAACATTTTTACGACATGTTTTGTGAGGGCATCAACTGTGAGATTTATAAAAAGCAGAACAGGAACAAACTCTTCACCTCCATCCAACAGATCAAACCACATTTCTAAAGAAAACTGACCACAGATTTCAGTCTGACTCAGACGATGAGCTGCTAGTCCCACAGTGTGAGATGGCAGACTCTATTAAAGTGCATACAAAAAATGCTCCAAAACCTCCAAACCTGCATGAACTTCTTTCTTCTTATAATTTAACACACAAATATATATATATTTTTTTATTATTTTTTTTTTTTGAAGAATGTTAGAAACCCAGTAGTTGCTGTTCCCCATTGACTCCCATAGTAAAAAAAATATATATTAAAAAAAGGTGGAAGTCAATGGCTATCAGCAAGTTTGGTTGCCAACATTCTTTAAAATATTTTCTTTTGAAAATGTTCAGTGTTAAATGATAGAACAAAGAATGTTTACTATTATATAGTCTTAAAAAGAGCCTGTCAGGCATTTATTTATAACCATATATCATTCGCAAAGAGCTTGTTCATTCCACCCACTATAGGAGGGTCAAGTGCTTCCGTGGGAGGATTCACACAGAAGTTGAACAGCTCAAGTGTTTTAGATCAGACTTTTCACAACTAAAGAAAATGTTTCACGTGTTTGTTTTGTTCTGTTTGTGTTGGTGGCATTTGATTGGTAAGTCATAAATACATGTTTTGTTTTGTTTATTTCTTAATATCAGTGACATTCTTCACAGATGACATGGAAAATAATGGACATTGATATAGTGAATGCAACTTCAATTTCAAGGATTACAAACGCAAATCCTGTCTAAAAAATACTTTGGTAGTAACCAGTTTATCTACTGATCTAAATGTCCCATATACAAAATACAGAGGCATTAACAACATCAAGATGAATTATTTCATGTCGTAATTGACTTTGTAGCTTTATATCACAGTACGTCAGCCTCACTCACCTTTAACATTCATGGCATCTTTTTACTTTCTGTTTTCCACCACCCTTCGTGTTTCCCGGAAGAAAGTAAGTTTATCTCCGTCGCGGGTTAAAACAGTACACTTCTGTGTGTGCCGTGGTCGGGGAGACTAATGTTAGATGAGAATTGTGCGCTCGTCCGCTTTATATTTAACAAGGAGTTGTTTTTAGTGTCTAAGCGATGTTCAGGTGTGAATGATCGGCCGTACCCACGTACACACTCCAGCTTAGTATTGTAAGAAAATAAGACTCCCAAAGATGCTTATAATAAGTGGACATGGCAACACCACATGTGCGCTTAGCATAAACTAAACCAAAAACAATAGGAAAACAATGGGAAAGTAACGCAGTGGAACGGGGAAAACGATAAATGGATACACGCTCGTTTACAATATCGTTCACATTTGCAGTTGTACTCTGCAATAAAAATAGAACACGGTGTTACATTTTTAATAACTTTTAGGACTAGCAAGAGGTGCTCACTGCAGAGCTAAATGGCGTCCAGCACCTCTTCTCTGGACGTAATGGGTGGAGCTTATAACCTAGTCCAGCTACAGCCATTGGCTCTGCAGCCTTATTTTTTTTTGTGGTGTTTATAGGCTTACAATTATTTATTGTTAAGGTTACCACTAGAAAATATAGGCTGTCCTACAGATAAAAATTGTCACATCAAGTAAACGCCAGCCATCATTAAACAATACAATCAATTCAAGTGTTCAAATCTTATAAATTATAATAAATTGTTTTGCAGAAAATTTAATAAGGACTTATAAAGGTTGGACTCAAGTTAATATTCATTCTGAGTGAATTTGAAGCAAAATTCTATTATATTATAATTTTTTTTTCAAATGTTTTCAAATGTCTCATTAGCAGGTTCCTGATTGAGTTTGTGTTTCCTTACAGAAATCAAAGGAGCCTGTTTATGGAAATACCGGCAGAAATAATCAGCAATGATCAAATATATTTTAGAGCTCATACGGACCCCTGACTCATACGTTTTAGTTCACATCTAATCTCTGCCAGGATGTTTCCGTCTATTTCTGTTTTGTTTACATTAAGATTTCATCTGTTTTTTTTGCACATACTCTCTCTTCATGTCTGAAATGTTGTTGCTCTGTTTTAGTTTAATTGTGTGGTTATCATAGCATCAGAAACTCATGTAAATGTTCTATTTTTTAGCTAATCGCATGGAAATGTATAACTTTATTAAAATTGGTCTCACCCTTGACCGTGTTCTGCCTCTATCACTGTCTACTCCTGGTTAAATAAATATATTGAATATTGCATATTCAAACATATAGGCCTAACAATAATAAAAACAAACTAAATTAAACACAGAATACCTTTTAAATATTCTTTTAACACACAGTTTTGTCCTGCAGGTGCAGATCAGTAAGACAGTTTTGACTCATATTTACACCTTTCTACTGGCATCATTTTTATTTATTGTACTGAGTGACGCCATCTGGTGGGTTTTGAATAACATCAGCTAAAACACATCAACACGTCGTGTAGGTGTGTGTGATTACTTGCTGCAGCAAATACAAAAATGAAGTGAAAACAATTGAGATTTCTCCAAGGGCGTAGAATTTAGTAGAGACACTAGCTACCAATATTCAGCGACTAATAAATTGTCCCAAGCAATAATTTTGTTCAAACAATGTGTATGTTGGCTAACTGTTGTAATTTCACAG